AGTATGTATGGACATTCGACAACAGGGATTAGATACATGCTTGGTTGTTTAAATTGTTCTTCTATGTTTAATGGGTTCCTAATGCTTAATTTTAGGTTAGACAACAAATGATCAAATTAGGGAATTAGGAACACAAGGTTAGGACCAAACACCATGGCCTAATCATACTTTAGCTAGAATCAATCTTTGAATCTGAATTAGACTTGTTACTTGAATCTTTATAACCCAGAATTGAATTGTTATGGTGATTCGAATGCCCTAGTCTCAAAATCTGTTTTCCAACTCTTAAAACCACTCTTTGTTACATTTGTTTACTTGTTTTTGTTTGCAATTTCATTTTGCTTCTTTTGTTCAACAATCACAACCACTCTTGTTTTAAATTCTGTTTTAGACATAACCTCCTACTTTCTTGAATTTGGTAATCTAAGTACATAACTAGTTTTAACTTCTCAGTCTTCGTGGGTACGACCTCGTACTTGTCTTGCTATACTACTAATTGCGAGTTAACATAATATTAACAACACATTGCTTCAAAACTTTTGAGTCCGTCTCGACAATAACATTATCATGCCCATCCCGCCTTGCCAATTTCAAGCCTCTCAAGGCTGCCTCGGCTTCAACATGGAGAGCAGAAGAGCCGAATAACCGAGTCGTCAAGCCCCCGCACACCATCCCAACCTCATTACGAATTACAACACTAGCTCCAGCGTTGTTAGATGCTTTGTTCCAGGCGGCATCGGTATTTAATTTGACAAAACTAGGTCTAGGAGGAGTCCATGTTGTCTGCAGGGTAGAGGGGAGAGACTGCGCCTGACCATGAGGAACCTCGCTGCCAGTAGAACATAAAAACTCATTGATTGCTTCCAGAGTGTGGGTCAAAACTCGCTCAGGATGGATAATGGAACCTTCAATGACTGCTTTGCAACGAGCTTTCCAAATTCCCCACAGAAGGAAGCTAATTATAGTGCAGAGTCGCTCAAAGTCCAGAGTTGGGGCCCGGTGAAGATTGAGCACACTTTCTAGCCAAATGTCAAAAGTACTTATTCTCTCAGGCTGTCATGATTAGTATGATTAGACCCACCCACGGTTTGAATTATTTGGCCAACAAAAACTATCATATGTATATATGTGTGTTAAATAAAAATCCTCGGTTGAGCCAAAGATCCCCGGTTGCATAAAAAATCCTCGATTGAAAGAAATGTTCCTCAATTTAAGAATGCCAGAGTAGCCCGATCCAAGAAGTATGCTTAGGAGCTCCAGCAAAAGTTTCCCTTCAAGTGGCGGAGTTTAAAGACATGAAGGATTAAGTGTCAACTTACCAAGATTCATTGCACCTTAAATCAAGAGAGTTTTTCACAATCCCAATGACGTATTGGGCAGTTCATGCCTAGAGCTCCGGAAGACATTAATATTGGAAGGATTTTCAAGAAAAAATTAGTTGTAGACATTTAATGGCCAAATCCTGTGAGTTGAAGGAAGCTCTATAAATTGGTCGTCAGAAGAAGAGAAGAGGACCTCCGACTGAACACACAAAATCTATCTTTTTATCCTGTACTTTTCAATTCATAGTCTTAGATTTTATCTTTCAAGCTCTTCAGTTTATCCAAGTTCTTCATTTTCGCAGTGTAAGCTTACTTTCTTGCAATTTAATTTCAATTGTCTTTACATTCAAAGTTTAATTCAACTCTTTATTGCTTTAATCTATTTTATCGCATTTACGTTTCTGTCATTTCGTTTATCGCACTTATACTTCTGTCATTTCGTTTACTGCATTTACATTCACTACACTTATCACAAAAATCCTAAAAATAGTCATACAAAGCTCAATCATCCTTGACCTCGAGGAAGAAAAAGAACCTAGGCCAAGAGGAGGTTCCTTGCTTGGTCGGTCAATCGTTTGATTAGAAGTCAGAAGCGCAAACACACTCACACGATCTTTCCACCCAAGCCATCAAGTGGTTTGGTGGTGGCATGCCTACGCATCTTAAGAGAAGAATGACCAAAAACTCCTTCCATCAGCCTACCCGGCCGAAAAGAGGGAAACACAACCATAAATTTCTCCCTTTTTTTCAAGCAGTGTCTTGACTATGCGTTGACCCGTGTCTTGACCATGGACACGGCTTTGACCGGTGGACACGCGTGTCCGAGGTGTATCCGACACTCTGACACGGCAACTGGGCGACGTGTCCGTGCAACGTAGCCTCTAGTGAGTGTGCATTTGATTGCTGAAAAATTGGACTTTCGTTATTGATTGGTTTTCATTTCTGAATCTTGTTACCCTTGTAGTTTGTATTGTATGTTTAGGGTTTAGGGTTCATCTATTTTGT